CAAGTAACTTATTCTGAAATATGTAATAGCCTGAAACCAGTACAAAAAGGATAGATAACCATACTGCTTAGACAGTATACCGGCTAGGTATATACAGAAGGTAAGTTGAGAATTACAATATAACAGGGCAGATGATCATAAAGTTTAAATAAATAATCTCCTAGTAGGTTATAGGTACAGCATCTAGTATAAAACCTTAGAGTAGACTACTTAAATAGGCAACCAAAAGTTGCATGCATGACTAGCTGTACTCTTATCTTTGTAAAAAATAGTTGTAATAGCTAACCTAATATAAAGTCAATAAAGTATTGCCACAAGTATGACCTTTAACAATAAAAAAAAAAAATGTCAATATTGTTAAAATTATTATAAGAATAAAATATAAAAAAATATTAATATATTTTTAACTTATTTAAATTTAAAAAAAAAATAAGAATGATAATTTAAATAATAATAAGAAAAAAGATCCTAAAAAAGAAAATTTAGAAGAAATAAAAATCAATTAGCTAGACAGACAAAAAACTCTAAAATTAAATTTACTTAATGGAATTAATAAAATTGATAGTTGGTAAATAAAAAAAATTATTACAACTAGTTTTATCTATACAAATTTATTTTAAGTTCAAAAAAAAAGATCCAATAAGTTCAATAATTATGTTAATAATCATAGTAAAATTATACTGAATATAAGTATTTGATTGAAGCTTAACATTTCTAAGATTAAGCTAATAGTTTTTCTAGTAATTATAAAGTAAAAAGTCTAATATATATTTAGCTTCTTAGCTTCAAATAATATAAGTAAAATTTAGTTGAACCCAAAGGTTCATTTTTTTATTTTTATTTTTATTTTTTTTTTTTAAAATGAGGTCTTGCTTATATCTTTATTAATAATTTAATATAGTTACATATATATATGCTATAACTAAAGCCAGCACTTGCAGTTAAAGCTAACTATTAAACTGCTAACTATACAGCTACTACTATTTATATAAAACAAATAAATTGAAAATTACATACAAGAATAAAAGCTCTGACTAATTTATCTATAACCTAAACCTACTAGAATAATTAAAACTCACTTAAATTTGAATGTTTAGTATATAATTTGATGATATACTATATTTAATTCATAAAATAGACCAAATATTAATTTTACAAATTGCTTAGCCAATAGGAGAGCATATGTTAGAGTAAGTATATAGTTGATCTAGAAGTTTGCAGATATATAAATAAGTATAATTTTTATAAAAACATGTATGCCTAGTTGCTGAGTTAAATAATATTAAAGGTTTGTTGATTGGTTGAGATTAAGATCTATTTTGTTATTTTTTCCAGTTAGAAAAATGAATACAATATGTTTTCTATAATTATTCATATGATGGTTTGTTAATATTGAGAAGAATATTAATAATAACTTGGAAGACAGTTTTGTATAATATGTCAAAGTTTTAAATTATTGATATGAATAATATTGAAATAAGTTTTTTGAGAATAAGATTAGAATAAAATATGTTAGATAAGATGTATAAGAAATTGAGAGCTGAATGATAAAGAATTTTATGAATTAGATCATTTTTTTAATAAGTATCAAGATCAGGTAATTTGCTAAAAATGATTTGATTGGTAAATGTTTGAATAATTTGGTTAAGCAAAAGTATATTAATGCAAATATACCAATAAGAATAAGAGTTAGCTAGGTTACAGTAAAAGCAATTAGTATCTGGATATTGGTTTAAGTAAATAGTATGAAATAGTTGGTATATTGATAACTCATTAAGAAAGGTTTTAATTTTAAAGAATTTTAGTTGATTGAGTTTAAAATTAGTAATATTGTATAAGAATTTTTGATTATAATTAAAATAAAGCCAAGTGGATCTTCAGTTAATATCCTAATTAAAGTATAACTACTTACTATTATGTTTTTAAGATGACTATATAGCTAATATGTGGGCTTTACATATTTGTTTAATAAAATATCTTGTAAAAAGTTCTATATAATGTTGCTTTTATTGAAAAATATGATAAGGGTTATAAAGATTTGTGTAATTAAATAAAAGAAGTAGTGATAATAAATGTTGTTTGGTAAAAGAATCTGCTTGCTCATTAAGATTATTATCTGAATGAGCTTGCACTTTGTAAAAGATAATTTGTATTTTGTAAAAGATAATTTGTACTTTGTATAATTTAATAATATTAGAAAAAGTATATTAAATAGTTCATAAGTTAAATTTGAATAACTTATTAGAGTAATTTAAATAAAGTTGAAGGTTATTAAATTTGGAAATTATTGATTAAGAATCAGTAAAAATATTGACTACTGAATTGCATAGAGCTGTTGATATTATAGTAATAGTTGAGAAAAGCTCATATTTATATAATGAGAGCTAGAATTGTATTTTAGCGAAAAAGAAGTTAATAGTTTGATTATTATTATCAACTTAGATTCAATCAATACCTATTATATATTGATCAGTATCAATATTGATTACTAAGTTATCAATATAAAAGAATAATTGTTAGTAAGAATGGTTAAGTTAAGAGATAGATATAAGTTTGTTAGTAAGAATAATTAAGTTAAGAGATAGATATAAGTTTGTTAGTAGTTTTATTTAGAATAAAGATTTCAGAAATAATTAAATTAGAAATAAAAATTATAAATAGAGGAGAAATATGGATTAGATACTTGATAGCTATAGAGCAGATAAGATCCAAGTAATTTGCATTAAGGTTGAGTTGGTGTTTAGAATTAGTTTTGCCAAGAAATTGTATTGAAATAACTGTAGAAACTTTGACAATACAAGTTTGGTTAATTCTGTGAGAATTAAGATAGTATCCTGTATATTATTTGTATTCAGCAAGGGGTAAAGGATAGAATTTTAAGTAATTTAAATCTATATTGAAAGTCCAATAAGTGATAAAGTAATAGTTAGATAAGAGAAAGTATTTTTGTATTTTTCTAATAATAATTTCTTTATTGTAATATGAAAATAACTAAAGTTTAGATTTTATAAGTTTTTTAGATATATTAATAATATAATAAGCATAAAAATTATAACTATATGATTGGTAATGTGGTAATATATTTCAGTAGAAAGAATGTGCTAAAATTGTATCTTCTAATTAAGAAAACCAAAGAAATTTTCTTTTCTTAGACAAAAATAAAACTCTAACTAAGAGATGTTTCTAATCTAATAAGATACTATTGTTAGCTATACAGGGTTGTTCAAAATACATAATAATAGATTGTTTAAGTTGTTTTTTAAAGATTGAGTATTTGTAATGTTGAGATAAGATTGATTCTAGTGACTGGTCTTCATTACTAATTATATGAAATCATATAATATTAGGATTGGTTAAGGTTACTAAACCTAAATGAATAAAAAGTTAGATAATTTTAAAGTTTAATGAATATCTATTAGGGCCATCAATAATTAGTTTAGAATAATATAAAATATTAATAGGGAATTATAAGTTATTTTGTAGTTATTGAGATTTAATTCAAGTTGTAATACTAAAAAGATCAGGATTATTAATTCATTAAAGATAATTAAAGATGTAATGCTGAAATTGAATATCCTATATATTATAAATATTATATAAATATAAATTAAATATTGTGTTATTTAGTATAGATCTGAAAAAATGAGACTTGTGTTTTGCTACAATAAGGTATTTAGATAATATTTGGTTACATGTAATATGAAAAAGCATAGTGTTATATAATTGATATTTCAAAATTAAAATAATTATTATATTAATAATATAAATAATTTATTTATTAATAATTTTCTTTGTATTGACAATATTGATAAGATTATAAACCTCTTCTTTTATTAATTTGATAACTTGAAATTGTTTGTTATTAAGTATGAACCAACATTCAAAAAACTTGAAAAATTGATTTTTAGTAATGAAATAAATTAAAGATCCAGAAAATCACATAGAAATAATAGAAAAGTTTGTATCTAAAATAGACTTTGTCAGATTAATTTGAATATTAGCCATTTGATAGAAGGATGTGATAGTTTTAGTTATTAAATTAAACTCTTCTTTAAACTTTATAATCCAAAAAATATTATCCATATAAGCTAAAACTGATACAGATATTTTTAAAATTTGGATTTGAGATGAATATAAGTTGATTTTTCAAGATATAGATAAAGAATAATCTAAAAATTGTAAGACAATTTTATGAATTAGAAGATCATAATAAATTCTCCAGAATTATGGAATTATAATTTCTCTTTGATTTATACTATTTTTAATTGAATAAAAATTGCTAAGACCAAAATTAGATATAACCTAATTTTGATAATTAATAAAAAGGTTAGTAAGTATATTAATGAAAGTTTGAAGCATTAATATTTGTTTAAAAAACTTTATAAAAAATTCTAAATTAACAGAATCAGTTCATTTTTTTAAAAAACTATGATATAATAAATCTTCTTATTGAATCTGATTACACCAGATTAAATTCAAAACTAGGTAGACAAGCAAACTGCCAACACAGTTGTAAAGATTCATAGGTAACTAATATGTAATGTAACCCAGTTTGCATATAAACGAAATTGGACTTTTTCTTATTTAAGCACTAAAAAAATTTTTGTGATCAACCAACCAAATGGATATTTAACCATGCTTTGCGCATTGTCATAAGCACTCATCCTAACTTAGACGAACTTAAAGGTATTTTGTTCGAAATTTACTGTCACGTGACAGTAAAATAAATGCATAGGGTAGTCTCGTGATGAACAAAGCTTTAACAAACCCCATTATCATTTTCATAATAGTCAAATTCAACCAAATAATTAAACGTATAAAGGAAACTAACACTGACCCAGGGCATGCATTGTGAAATTTTTTAATTGCTCAGGTATTGGGTATGTCAAAATGAAGAAATATGGATTGATTTACGAGCATAAGGCTAAAGAATTCTGGACATAGTTATCAATAAACTTTCACACATAACATTTGCGAATTACGAATTAAGAAAAGCTGGTTCATGAACCTAGGTTGGCATTGAAATTTAGCATATATTTTTCAACTACATATGATTGTAAACAAATAAAATTATCACTCACAGCATTAGCGACTTCTAACCAATCCAAAGAACTTAATAATCGGTTGTTCGAAGGTAAAGAAACAGTATTATGTTCCCATACAATAAAAGAATGAAACTTATGAGAAGTTTCCCAAGTTCTCCTTTCTTCAATTTCCATGTTTATTGCTAATGGACCTGATTTATTGGGCGTATATGATTCTTTAAATATACAACCTAACAACATTTAATAATATATATTTTAGGCCAAATGCGAATTCGTTTCAGTACGCGTTTTTTATAATAATTCCAATACCTTCGTATTCATCGTCTAGCATGACATGTCTACCTATAAGACGACGGCCACGAAAAAATGACTCGTAAAGGGTTTCTAATTGAAAAGTTGGGTTAAACAAATTATATATAACGTTAATAGCAAATATCATGTTAAGTTTCGTGCCCACCCGTTGGTCTAGAACTCGGTCTATCCATATCTATTAAAGTATACATATCTTGATTTTTTTTATCTAATGCATTTACCAAAAAATAGTTTTCGATATTGGCTTTTCCATTATGGTTAATGTTGCAAGGCAATTGATGAAGTTGTATTTCTGAGTGATTTGGATTTGTTTCTCGGCTCGATGGGGCCTCATTCAACGAATGTTGAGCTGGAAAACTAGTTATATTTATTTCCATGAAGAATAAATGACGCGACAATTTCCAGTAGCATATACTGATATATCTGATATAAAAATCAGGTGAACTAGAAATATGTCTCGATCACGTGCCGACGATCATTTCCGATCCCTGATGATCTTTCCAAACTCATACAGGGGGATCCCCAAAATTCCGGGTCGGAATACATCGGAATCATGATCGGCAGGGCCGGAATTAACTAATTTTGCCCAAGATCACTAAAAGTTTTACTAATGAAATCATAGCTCACTCATTAAGTAAAGCTGCCCAGCTGATAATTTTGGCCCAAAGTCGTTAACTTGTATTACTAAATGCTAACTAAATGCCGGGCTAAATCCGAGGTATTCCGACCCGGAATTTTGGGGATCCTCCTGTATAAGTTATCTATTTATTTATTTGTTCTTAAGTTAAAGGAACGTTGAATGTTATAGCATAAGGACGTAATAATTTACAATTCAAGAAAGTTAAAAATATCATATTTAAAAGGATCAAAGAATTTGAATAAGATTTATTAACAAAAATGGTTTCACCTATTTTGTTTGTTTTTTTTAATACATATTAATAATAAGATTATGTTTTTATCTTTATTGAATATTTAATTGAGATTTTACATAGAGTATAATTCTGTTTTAAAAATATTACAGAAGAATAGAAGCTCAGACTAATTTATCAGTGACCTAAACCAACAGGAGTGGTTAAGGCTCATCTAGATTTGGTTATAGTAATTATGTATAAAATATTAGTTTAATATTTGATTTATTAAATATATTAAAAGTTTATTTTTAAACTAATAAAATTAAACAAAAGAGAGTATAGTAAAAATGAGACAAAGTTTGATAATAAGTTGTATTTAGAAGATTGAGTTATAGATCTTGGAATATAATAAGAAATTCAGATTTTGTAATAAATTTATTAATTAAACAATATTAATAATATTATATATATAAAGAGTTGCTATTATTAGCAGAATATATGAAAGATTTTATATACTAGAAATCTTTTAAAATAATTGCAATTAATGTGAAATTATTTTGAAATAAAAAAATTTTACAATATTGCAAAAGAAACAAAATAATTTTAAAAGAAATTTAATTATTTTACAAAAAATTAAAAATTAATAAAACTAAAAAAAAAAAAATATATTTCAAAAATAATTTAAAATATTTAAAAAAATTTAAAATATTTTGAAATTATTAAAATAATTTTAAAATATTTCAAAATAATTGAAAGATTTTCAAAATAATTAAAAAATTTTGAAATAATTTCAAAATATTTTTTTTTTTTTTTTTTTTTTAAGTTAAAATCCCTATCTTGGGAGTTGTGATGTTTTTATTCAAGTATATTAGAACATAGCATGCCACCAAGGGCTCACCTTACATTGGAGGTTACAATTAGCCACACGTGCATTTTTGGTGCCTAATTTAAGTAGTCCGCTTACACATTACTATATAAATTCTACACTAGTTGCCATACCTGCAAGCCAACTAGGAGTCTTGCCTATTTAAACCCTCTATATATGCAGTTCTTCTTGTATCACAGGAACATCTCAAGATGCCACACATCCAAGTTCTTGATGCTTATCAGTCTCTTTAGGACTACTTTATTCTTGATAGGAAACTTACTAGAGCCTTTATGTCTTACACATCTAGACCTAGTTTTATACAATATGTTATAGTTATCTAATACTTGTAGTTACAGAAGTTACTTGTTTAACTGCTATATTACACTATTTCTACCCTTGTAAAGTTTACTAGAACTCTAGTACCATCTTTCTGGCATCTTCTCCATCATCCCCTACTAGTCACAACTCAGAACCATCAGTCTCATTTATCCAAACTACCAATTTAGATGGCCTGGTATAGTATATTTCTGTATCCTTTTCCTCTGGTGAACCTGGTGGCCTAGTTGATTATGTGCTTCTCTACACATATTTGTCATCTGGTTTTAATCTTCGGTTCCTATGAAGATGTTTCATGGGCTTCAACTGGTCTGATGGTACTATTGAAAGTTCATGCTACTTCTTTACTTAGAAATTTTTAAGTGGGTTTCTGTCATCTCAGTTTCTTAGTCTTCTATGCCCAGTGGTCTTATTGTGGATTTGCACTAAAGTCTTATGCAACACTGATTAACATTCCTCTATGTATATGTAATGTTACACTTTGCATAGATGCTTTGAGCTCTCAAAGCTGGGAAGACCTGACCTGGTGTATCTGGGTAACAGTCATATGAGGCCAACTGATCGACAGAAGACAGTTACCATAACACAAATATAATTTCCAAATTTCATCGTAAGTGAGATTTGAACCTTAGACCTGCCACTTAGAGGATAACAATCTAACCACTACACTAGGATCACCATTCTCATAATTTCAAAATATTTTTTTTTTTTTTAAATATTAAGGTAAGTACTTGTGACCCAGAATTTTATTAATAGTACATTCAGCTAATAGTTGCATTAC